CCCACACCCCACCCACACCCCCGCCTCCCGCGGCGCACCGAAACACGCCATTGTTTTCGACCCTGCTGCCACACCCCGCCCTACACCCTGCAACCCCCTTGACTCGTCCTTTCGCCTGAACGAACGCGGCCCGCGTTTTGCCGCTTTGGCGCGGCTCGGCGCGTTTGTGCTGGCTATTGGCGGGCGCCCGGCCGCGAGCGGCGCGCGCGTGAGCGCGCGCGCGGGGACGGCCGCATTGGCCCCCCTGCGCGCGCGGGCGGCGCTCGGCCGGGCGCCATCGGAGTCGGTTGCCAGGCTCATGCGCGCGGCGGGCGCCGGCGCTCGCCGGGCGAGCGGCCCCCGCCGCGCGGAACGCGGCACGCGCCCTCGATGCGCGCGCTCCACCCTTCAACTTCAAAACGATGCTCTTGTCTGTTCTGCAGCCTTGGAGGTGACGGGCGCTTCTTGTACTGTACCCGCAACCCACCTCGCCACCAGCCCGCGCCCGACGCCCCGCGGCCCGCCTGCGGCATGCTCGTGTCCGGTGGCGGCCGGCGCCTGGCGGTTGGTGAGTCTTGGGGTTTTTTCCCGTGCCGGGCAAGCAGGGCTTGTTCCGCTGCGCGCGTGCCCGCAGATCCACGCGCGCTCGCGCGGTCTGCGGGCTTGCCTCGTCTTTTTTGAGTAAATAATGTCTCCTGTTTTGACGCCGGCCGCAGGGGCTCTGTAGCAAGCAGGCTTGGGGAACCTCCCTATCAGAGAGTGTAGGCCTGCCGTTGCAAAAGACGTGCCATGGGGCAGCGGGAGCCAAGCAGCTATTAATATGTGGGGGGTGGGCCCGGCTGCTGCTGTCGGTCATGCGCTGAGGTTGAACCATGCATTTGACAATGTAGGCATGGAGGTGCGGGACAATCTAGTTTGCAAGGGGGGGGCTGAACAAAGGTGATGAAGTTTACACACGCGCATGGACGTTGCCCCGCTCGTGTTTGATTTACAACAGAGGTGTGCCTGAACACCGTTGAGTGCCTGCTGACAAACAGTAGCGGCCTGCAGGCCGGAGGCTGTTGCCTGCGGTTGGCGGCAAAGCCAGGCAGTGGCAACAGGCGACTGTGCAGGCATGCTTATTGAGCTGCGCTGCTTGCATGTGAATGATGTTTAAAACACGTTCCCTTTGTTCCGCATGACAGTATGTCACCTGAACCTTTTGAAGTGGCACGGGGCCACCGCGCGCTCGTGGACGATTGAAGTCTGATTTTTCGGCCTCTTGCTGATCTCCAAAGCCAACTTCCTGTCATCAATTCCATCAAGCAAGTGGAAATAAGCTTGTCGAGACCCAGAGACTCCACAGATCTTGCAGCTTAGAATCACAGCACAGGTTTTGGAAGCCATCCGGGCTGCGATGGCGGGGGAAGACCTAGCTACGGAACAGGGTCAAGTGAGTGCAACGTGGATGCATCGTTCTGCGGTGTGTTGGTGCCCTATCATCAGTGCGGTGCGTGCGCTGATGTGCCGAGGGGCCCGCCGACGCAGCACAGCCGCGGTTGCGCAACCCCGTAGGAGCCGGAACACTCATGGAAGGCCATTGAAAATGGCTGGTCTTTGAAAGTACGACTGCCTGGTAAGATCTGCTGCGCCGCCTGCTTATGCGTTGTTTGTGCCGCCGCCGCAGCGTTTGAACCGCGTTGCGGTTGGTGGTGTTGCTGACGCATGTTTGCGCTTGCATGTGCGCTTGTTGTTGCAGGGTGCATGCTTGCAAGCGCACGCATGCCCATACGCAACCTCCAACCCACCGCAACACACACATGCGCACACGCGTACCCACACGCACGCACGCGCACACACACATGCATGGCTGGGGCATGCGACAGGAGGAGAGCACCCACTCACTCCCACCGCGGCCCCCACCCCGTCCACCCCAGGCGTCGAGGGCGTGGAAGACATCCTCGTCCAGGTGCAGGCGCTGCTGCTGCTCATCATTGTGCCCGCGCGCTGGCGCCTGCGGCTGCTGCTCGCCGCGCCCTTCCGCCTAGTAGAGGACTCGGTCCGGTTCATCACCAGCCGCCACACCCTCAAAGTGAGCCCCGCGCCCGCGGCGCGCCCGCTCACAACGGCACGGCGCCCTGGCAGCCCCCCCTTACCCCGCCCCACACACACCCTTGCACGCGTTGAGTCGTGACGCGCGGCCTTGGTGCGTACCTTGGGGTGACCGTTCCGCCCCTCGGCAACATGACTTCCCTGCTCCCAACGCCGAACCCGCAGCTCGACCTGGCGTACAATCAGCCCTCTCACCTGCTGACCGCGCCGCCCCGCGTGCTGGCACCCAGTGACCTTGACCCCGACGCATGGCAACAGCAGGAAGCAGAGCGGCAGCAGCGCCAGCGCTTGGAGCTGGCTGTCGAGCAAGCTCGAAGACAGCACCAGGAGCAGCAGAGGCAGGAGCAGCAGAGGCAGGAGCGGCAGAGGCAGGAGCAGCAGCGCCGGCAACAACAGGAACAGGAGCGCGTCCGTCAGCAGCAGAGGGAGCAGGAGCGGCAGCGGCAAGAGCAGGCCCGCCGCCAGCAGCAGGAGCAGGAGCGGCAGCGGCAGGAGCAGGCCCGCCGCCAGCAGCAGGAGCAGGAGCGGCAGCGGCAGGAGCAGGCGCGCCGCCAGCAGCAGGAGCAGGCGCGGCGCCGTGCGCAGCAGGCGCAGGCTGAGGAGCAACGCGCGCGGCGCCTTTGGCAGCAAAGGGAGGGCGCCGAGCGCTCCAAGGTGGAACCGCCCTGCCCGCCTTGGCGTGAGCTGTTCTGGACCGCCCTTTGCGCAGTGATCGCCCTCGCCGTGGCGGCGCTGGCGGCCGCACTGCTCACCCTAGTGCCGTGGCTCCTCGGCTGGGTGGCGGCGTCGCCCTTGGACGCCGCGCTCGGGGTGATCTGGCGCCGCCGCGTCCTCGGCCAGGCGGTCGGGACTGCAGCCATGTTCGTAGTCGACGCGCTGTACCGCCCCGTCGTCATGTTTCTGTTGGTTCCATGGACGTTCTACTTGGCGGGGGGCGGCGCGCTGGGCGTGTGCTTCGCGGCCGCCCACTTGGCCCTGGGCATGATCGGCGGCACAGAGTTTGGGTTTGAACTCGACCAGCAGTTCCTATCGCAGGTCTTGATGCTTGTGTCCGCGGTTTTGCCCGGCGGCGCCTGGGTGCGCAACGGCTTCCTAATAGCAGCGATGCTGGCCGTGGTGCGGCTGGGCGTGCTGCAGTTCGGCCCGCCGCTCGCGCGCCCCATCAATGGCCGGTGGGTGCGGCCGGACCCCGCGGAGCGGCAGCGCAGGAAGCGCGCGCGCACCGGCGGCGGCGGCGGCGGCGGCGGCGGGCCGCGCGC